CGTTCTTTCTTTTGACTTCCACCAGTCTAGAACGTCAAAGTCATCATTTTCTTCAAAATCAACTTCATATGTTAAATACAAAGTAATCTCATTCAATGCGCTTTGTTCAGTGTCGTGAGTTGTTTTAGTTTTTTTCATAAGATTGCCAAATGCAGATTTAAAAATCGATTTTCCTTTAGATGAAGATGTTCGTGACGGGGGAGGGGGAGCGTTGCTATATTGTGCACGAAGCTCATTAAATAAGGTATAAAATAAAGTACTAACCTCGTTGTATTCCGTTTTCGGATCTATGGGGTTATCGTCATACATTGGAAATTCACCGAAAAACGCAAGATAATAGAAGTTGAAACAATCTTCCAAATTAGCAAGTCTATAACGAGGATCGAGAATAAATGCAATACCATAAATATGAGGAATATGCGCATAATATTTTAAAAACTTTTCCTTCATATGATCACAAAAATAATGAACGAAAACGGCATTTTGAACTTCTTTAAAAGCATCGGCGACAGCTTGTGGAATAAATTGGTTTGCGGTAGGTTTATAAACATGACTAAAAGTTTCAGTAGCATTAAAAAAAAATATCAAAGCATTACAAATTTTTTCGCAAGTGTCGATCTCAGCCGCGTTTATAATATAGTTATCATGTTCTTTTAAAAAAGCAGGAAAATGTTCTTTATATCTAAGAACAACTTTAAGTAATTTATAAGTACTATTCCAACGAATACTCAAATCTTTAGGAAAAGCAACATATCTCACACCTCTTTCAGTCAAATAACTTTGCCATTTTAATCTAAGTTGACCATTACCCCAAATACGTCTAATCCCCCCCTTTATTACCTCCATGGAATCTCCTAACGCTTTTAAACCGTCTTGCACACATAAATTTATAACATGACATGCACAGCGTTGATGAAAAAATCTACCCATCAAAGAATTGACACCACACAACTCACGCAATCTAGGTATAGCAGCAGTATTATTCGTAGCATTATCGAAACCAATAGCAAACACCTTATCAATCAAATTATACTCAATTAAAATACGCTCAATCAAAATATAAATATGTTCAGCGGTGTGACGATCATTAAATTCACGAAAAGCAAGAACACGTTTATGCATATTCCAATCCTCATCAATATAATGTGCAGTCAGACCCAAATAATATAAATGATGAAAATCATCCTCCCATATGTCAGAACAAATAGTAACACGCCCATCAAAGTTTGCAAAAAAAATTTGTAACCTTTCCTTTTCCGCATTATAAAGCCTTATTATTTCTTTCTTAACAGTTTCGCGACTATAATTTCTAAATTGAGGATTTAAACTACCTTGTGCATAATCTCTTAAAGCAAGACTTTCAGAAAACAAATAAGGCAAATTTTCTTCACAAATTAAGTTAGCCATACCAGTCAAATTTTGTGCATCATTGTAGGAGAAATTACCAAAAGGTTGAGAATTCGCAAACCTCGATATTTGAGTTTGCTTCCCCGTTCCGCCGCCTAATTTTGCATACTCCACGGGGTGCTTTGCCTTAAGGTGCCTTGCGGCGGATCCGTATCCGCCGGAGGTTCCCAAACTATAATTGTTGTAGCACCACTTGCAAGTTGCGTGCCAATAGCCGGTTTGTGGGTCCTTCCATTTATCAAAATTATTTTTCATTAGTTCAGACTTACTTTGTTTATTACCGGTGGCGGTTTAGGATGAGGCAGGCGCGTCGGCGTCGTGGCTGCCGGCACCCTCCTCCTCGGCCGTCTCCGGTTCCAATTCCTCCGCATCTTCATCCTCAAGCTCCTCTTCGTCAATGGTCGTCGGCATTTGTTGTTGTTGTAGAAAGCGGTTATTATGTCGGGCCAATTCTTGTTGGAGTTGTTCTTAGGACATCGCATCTCCATCTCGCCTTTGGTAACCCGTTTCAAAATCATCTCGGCTTTGAGATGAAGAACCGGCAAGTTCTTTACCTTTGCGGGATTTCTTCCTCCCAATCTCGTTCCTTCGATTGCGTTGGAGGTTACCCAAATCAACCGAATATCTACCACCTTCCATGTTAAAAATGTAACAAATATTAATTGACAACCAATATAATAATGGATACAAAACTAATGCAACTAATTAAAACTATTTTAATTAATACTTCAAACTAATTTAGTGCAAAGTAGAATTAATGTGTGACTTTAAAATTAAAATTATACCAACTTTTGGAGTACTTTAATTTAGTAAAAACTAGTTAAATAGAATTGTCTTCCGATCTCCATGTCCACCGCCCAGCCACATCCTTCAAGCCCACTGCCCTTCCAAGTCACCCCTCCACTGAAACCAAGCAACCCAATCAGCAATAAGATTAGCATATGTAATGCCTCTCAAAACTCGCCGAGCAACAATCAGCGCAAGTCGTTGGCCGGAAAATCAAGCCCTAGGGATATGCCGTAGGGAAACAAGAGTCTCACTGCTAGGCTCCGGGTTTTCTCCGCGCATATGTTAGGCTGCTTGATCGGTATATGAATATCTAATGGTTGAAAACATCCAAATTGTAACTTCTCAAGTGGTGGTAGATTACATTTTAAGGATTTTGTTATTTACTTACAGATCTTTGTTTCGATTAAAAAATTTGCGTTTAATTATGCTTAAAAAGTCAACAACATCAATGTTAAGGCAGTCTTAAGTTTGAAACTAATATTAAAGCAGTGTTTGCGGTTGCTTCAAAAAAGCGCTTTTCAGCTTTTGGCTTAAAAAAGCTAAAAAGAGTGTTTTCAAATGACAGCTTCTGTTTAAATTAATCACTTAAAAGTTAAAAGCTGGAAGCAGGTGGAAGGGTGCTTTAAACTGCTTTTCACTTTTTCTATTACACAAAAAGTACTTATTTTACCAAACATTACCAACTTTTACTTTTTCAGAATCACTTTTTTCTCAAACACTACCAACTTTTACTATTAATCACTTTCCCCAAAATCACTTTAAAAAATCACTTTTTTAAAGTTGAAGCAATTGCAAACACTCCCTAAGTCTGGGAAATCAGTTGGGAAATTTCCCAAAATAGGAGTAAATAAGTTTGAAAATTTCAAAATAGGCATAATTACAGCAGGGTTTGAAAATTACTGTTATGTTTAAAGTCTGGTACTGCCAAAACATAGCAGATACTAGTCCTATTTTGGAAATAAAAACATAATAGTCCTATTTTGGAATATTCAAAGGTTTAATCCTATTTGGGGTAATTTCCCTAATCTTTATAAAGGCTAGGTTGTAAAACATATTTAATGAATATTCAAGGCTGCCATAAATTATTCAATCCTAAGTGCCACCAATTTATTTTATCTGCTTATCTCCTTTTCTTGATCTTAACATACATCATCCATCACCTTCATGCATTCAAAGCTGCAAAAAGATCATTAGACCATTTGGAGTGGTGGGGTATTAGGAGTCCAAAACGCTAAATGTAGAATTTTTGGACTCCTAATTATGAGATGAGATATTTGCTTCAATGAGTGCATTACTGATGGGGAGTGCAATTTTGTTCACCCCCTCCTTGGAGGGTGAACATAACCCCCCTCCCTATTTGCTTGCCATGTGGCAAAAAAAGAAATGAAATGCCAAATGGCAACATTTGAGCTATGGGGGTGATGTTCACCCTTTAAGGAGGGGGTGAACAAAATTGCACTCACTGATGGGTGGGATGGATGACCGCAAAATGCACTGCCACGAAAGAAATAAGATTTAACTACAAATATCCTCCAATGTCTATAAGATTAAGGTGGCATTTAAAAAATAAAATCTCACTATCAATTCCGATTTCTGATTTGAGAAAAAACCTCTTCAACTTATCAGCACAAATAGAAATTAGTGAATTACCTAAATAGGATTAAACCTCACTGTCAATTTCGATTTCTGATTTGAAAAAAAAACCTCTCCAATTTATCAGCAATACGAATAGAAATTAGTGAATTATCTAAATAGGACTAAAAGATGGCCAAAATTATAAATAGGAATAGCAATTTTTAAATTGCCAAAATATGAGTTGTTTTGTGATTGAACAAAAAAGTCTCTGCCACCACTCGATGCCACATGCTAGTATGCTACTAGTGGTGGACTCGGGTCGGGCCACACGGCCCGTGGACCAAACCGGCCCGGTTCTCGGGTCCGGGTCGGGCGGGTCCGGGCTCGGGTCTCACATTTGGCGAACCGGCCCGGCCGGGCCCGGGTCCGGGCCAAATTGATTTTTTTTTCATTTTTTGGGGTTCCACCCGGGTTGGGCTTGATGGTTAGGATGGGTTTGGGGGGTTTGGGGGTGGGGGGTGAGGGGAGGGTTAGGAAAGCAAAAAAAAAAAAAAAAAAAAAAACCAAACTGGAGGCCCGGCCCGGGTCCACCAATCCTGAACCGCCGGCCCGGCCCGGGTCCATCACTACATGCTGCCGCCGCCACTAGAGCTCCAACTGTGCGGCTGTGCCAGAAAATCCAGATTTTTTTTTCACCAACCCGTCTGCCGCTGCCAATCACCGCCGCCACACCCAATCTACTCTGCCACCCAACGGACTGTCTCAGTTGCCCAAGAGGACTAGAGGGGCAATTAATTAAATAATTACTTAATTAATTAGAGATATTAAGGGTAGAAAATTAACGTTTAGTCCTGTGTGAAATTTTAAGTGTTAATCTTATTTTAAATTTTAAGTTTCATTTAGCCCCATTAAGGATAATTACTATAGAAACTTACGAAAAAAGAGTCAAATCGCAAATACAGAGCAATGTGCCAGATGAAAAAAAGTGTTACAAAAATCCATTTCCTTCCATCTATTTGAAACTCATCCATACACAATTTCATGTATTTGTTTTGTACTTTTTCCTTTTATGGTCATTGTATTCCCTTTGAAATCTGATACTGAGATTAGTTTTACATATGTGCAATGTACTAACGTGATGTCGAAACCTAGGTCTAATCATCTAATGTGATGTCTGGTTTTAACGTGTAGCTGCTCTGATGTTAGAATCTAGCTTCAGGGTGAAGGCTGGAAGATGAACAATCATTATTCATATGAATAATGAATTAAAATTTATCTTAAAGATTTCAAAGAAACTCTCAATTGTTTTGGAGACAACTTTTATTTCTACATCGGCCCCACCATTTTATACACAATTCACTGCACTCCTGTAACACTGCCCCATGATTTTGAGAGAAGGTAAAGAATCTCAACACCTTTTAGAATGGATTGTCATTGCAGGAGCGCAGTGTTAGTCTGATTGATGAGAATATAAGCAGCACGCTGCACTAAACATCCCCAGCAATAGGTTCTAGGCCCAGGGGCTGCCGCCTAGCGCTTTTTCAAACACATGAAACATTCATTGAATGGATCATGTCCATCATACTCTTCTTGATAAGGATTATTCTGGCAGTGTGGTAACCTGTTGAATGGGTCTTCATGAAGGGTTTCCAATCACTGTCCACTTCATGCTCTATCTCCTCCATAGAAACCAGCTGAAATTCCTTATACCAATATTTCAGTGTTGATGATTTGCTCAATTTCTTGTGCAGCAACTGAAATTCAGGTTAAAAAGTAAAAAAATTGAAGCGAACACTCAGAAACTCCTGCAGCAGAAACATACTCCATCCATATACAAGGTCTAAAAGTAACCACCAAATACCTCAATGCTTCTGCGAGAAGAACATATCATGGATAGACTAACATCGTCATTTGAAACCAGCATATTAGCCAAGAATGAATCATCTCTTCTGGATGATATGACCACATATTCTGCCTTTGCCTTTTTTAAGAATTTATTCAGAGAAGAAAAGGAAACTGCGTGCAGTTTCTCATGTATAATTAGATCCTGTAAATAGTATTTAAATTCAATGATAAATTCTAGATGCTCTATAATAACAACTACGACAACAACAATAATAATTAGATAGTACTACCTCCGTCCCCCTAAGTTTGGGACAAGAGAAGGTGGCACGGTTATTAATAAAAGTGTGGTTATGTGGTTGATATTGAATTGATAAAGTAAGAATAAAGTAGGAATGATTTAGAACCACACAAACTTTACCAAATAAGGAATGAGACAATCTTAGTGGGACGGACCGAAATAGTAAAATGGGACAATCATAGCGGGACGGAGGGAGTATATAATAATGGTAATAGCAATAAAAATGAGGATCGAGATCATAACCATGATAATGATAATGAATACTAAAATTATCACTATTACTGATACTAATGGTTGGCATTAAAGCAGGTTTGAGACTGCGGATGTTTTTTGTTATAATGAAATTTTCTAGTCTAATCTGGTCTATTTAAGTCTAGTACTCTGGTCTGATCTCGTTTGAACTGGTCTGGTCTGATAAATGTCTAGTCCATGTGTATTTTCACTATCAAAGTCTAGTCTGATCTGTTTAAATCTGGTCTAATCTGAAACCATTCCAAGCAAAAACATCCTAAGGATAACAAAAAGAGTCTCAACTATACCGTAAAAAGTTTAGCCCATTGAGCAATCAAGGTTCGAAATTGCGAATTGCGTAGTCGTGGCGTTTTTTTAATATTGCATATTGCGTAAGCCTCATTGCGCAATGAGGCGTATAGCTGAGGCGTAATATATATATATATATATATAGAGGAATGCTCCTGTCCAGACGTCCGGACAGGAGCCGCCGTCCGGCCGGCGGCGTTTGGCCGCCTTCCCGGTGGAATTTTTTGATGAAATTTTTATAGCATGTTCTCCATCAAGTCTAGTTTATCCACAAAAAAATTCAGCCAAAAACTCAATTGGGAAGGTCGTCAAATGATTTTTGCAAGTTAACTGGTCCGGAAAATACATATTCCGGACCAGTTAACTTGCAAAAATCATTTGACGACCTTCCCGATTGAGTTTTTGGCTGAATTTTTTTGTGGATAAACTAGACTCGATGGAGAACATGCCATAAAAATTTCATCAAAAAATTTCACCGGGAAGGCGGCCAAACGCCGCCGGCCGGACGGCGGCTCCTGTCCGGACGTCTGGACAGGATCTTTTCTATATATATATATATATATATATATATATATATATATATATATATATTATAAACATAATAAAAAATAAACATATTCATCAAAAGTCATCAAATGTTATATTAAAACAAACCATAAGAGGCCAAGCAAAGTAACATGTTCAAACTTCAAAGTAGAATACCAAAACATTCTGAATCATTTATCAAAACAAAAATCTAAGATATGAAAATTTAAATTAATTAGATTGATTGACTGAAAAATTCAATCAGTAACTACTGGTTTGAAATAGGGATCATAAGATCAATTATAAAAATTTAAAAGTGGGCCGAGTGGGCCCAAATAATACCCTTACACCCTGACCTCCTATTGCGTACGCCTCAGAGCGCCTTATTGCGTATCCAATATTGCGTACGCCTCAGTGCAATATTGCGCACATCACACTCCCAACGCCTTATGCAATGCCTTTTACGCCATAGTCCAGGAATTAGCTGAGGCGCGCCATGAGGCGCAATTGCATTGCGCAATTACAAACAATGTGAGCAATATGTGTTTTTCTAATCTAGTCTGATCTAAATTGCTCTTGTCTGATTTGATCTGGTTAAATTTGATTTTGACGGGTGTGAACTAGTCTGGATTGGCACTATATGAAGTTTTTTATAGATACAATTTAATAGTAGTGCAATATATTACACATATCATACTTGTTAAAACACCAAATTATCACACTTTTTAATGTTATTAGTTAAATTTGTTTTTAAAAAAAAATATACAAATAATAATGATAACTAATTTCCAAATTTATACAAATTTGGAAAGAATCTTATAAAAACTAATTTAAAGAAATTGATTTTTTTAATAACTATGCAAGTAATAAACAACATTGTCCCTCTGTCCCTTGTAATTTTGCCAACTTTATTTTTTTCCCCACTAACATTGTTACTTTCCTTTTAAATAAAGAATTTGTGGTTCTTTTTAATGCCTCTCCTCTGCACAAATCTCAACACAATTTTTACTTTATTATTCTACATATCAGTCAACTTTGGCAAAGTTTTAAGGGACGGAGGGAATATTTATTAATGAACAGGCTTTCACCATGATAAATTTACATAAAAACATATCAAGCACAAGAGACCGAACAAGTAATAATTAGACAAGACCGGGTCATATCGTACCAGTCCAGCTCAGGTTAACCTGGATTTACTAGACCAAATTAGACTTGACTTTACTAGACTTGCATTTCATAGTAACAAAATACACAATGTATTAAATATAACTAGACTGGACCAAAATAGAAAGAACTTAAGAGACCATATCATACCAGACTTGAAAGAAATAATGCTAGTATAGGTCAGACAAGACAAGAAAATTCTAGTCCAAATGAATAGATCACTATAATAACAGTACTATAACATAATACGGAGTATATTATATCATGGTGGTCTAGTCTGATCCAGTGTGTCTGGGTTGCAATAAGTCCAACAGAACATAGCCTAAGCCTCATAAGTACCAACATTTTCATTTAACCAGAAAATTTCTTACGCGTTCCAAAAACACCCCTTTAAGAAAGGGAAGATTATCTTGTTTGGACATGGAGGAGTTGAACTTGATCTAGGTAATGTCTGGTATATGGATAAAGAGGTCCTTTCACGGCCTCCGCCTGCCCCGGCGGAGAAAGACGAGAAGCAGCCCCAATGGCTGATTAGGGAGAGAAAGTAGGTGCAAGATGATCAAACAGAACAAGCCTTAAACTCACAGAATCAGACAGATTAATTACCACCGATGACCGACCAAATAAATATTGGGCTCAAGTTTTCAGCCTTAGTAAAGAGGGATAGACTTCTCACTGCCAACTGCTGGTAGTCCGAATATGGCACCAAATGTAGATCTCCCATATTCAACTGATCTTGGTAAACTTGCATGTAAAGTTATATATGCTTCTCAATTTTCTTGTATGTTGATGAGTGTTACAAAGATAACCAGAACCTCAACAAGAAGTAAAGAGTGCAGTAAATTAAAGTTACCCAGAAAATTAAACAACCTTATTTATTCAGATTAAAAAAGAAAAAGCTATAACCTTGGAATTTAAAAAGTTGTGGGGGTTCCAACTAAGCCTCCCATAATATGAGCCAGGATGGTGGTTCTTAAAGCAATTTATAGAATCATCCATTAAGGAGCAGGAACCCAGTTTGTAACATGGCTCATAATCATCTTTTTACACCTCATGGTTGTCAATGAAATCGAGAGAACAGACAGCATCTTCTTTTTTCATTCATCGTCTCGACCAGTAGAAGAATTATTATAAGTGCCCGAGATGATACCATTGTTGCAGGCGACAACGGCAGAAAGATATGAGATGTAGTAGGAGGCAGCGTGAGAGATAGAATAAAGAATGTTGGTCAAGACTGTCAAGTTGAGTGATGAAAACGGCGTGTTTGAGTCAGAGAACTGAAAGTCTAACAGTTGTGGGTAAATGCGTAATCTTCCATTTTCTTAAGGTTTTTTATTGACAATGTGGAAAGAATATCAGATCAAATGAATACTTCGTTACTCAATTGTTCTTAAAGAGTGTGTAATTGTTCTTTGGGCTAAACACAAAGGGTGTAATGAGATTTTCCCCATGATAAAATGAATACTATGCAAGATCTTAAAGAGTTATACTCACACTGGTTGCATACTACTTTAAGAAGAAACACGAAACTGGTAATCTCACTAAAAAACATTATGCGACTTCAGGTAGCAATGCATGTGAAGTAAAAGCGCAATGAGACTTACCTGTTTACCTCTGCACTGTATAATCAATTTCACATCTTCATAATGTTGCAACTGCATTAGGAACCCCTTCAGTCCACCCCTGCAAGCACTCTGAAAGCTTTTAACAGACAACAACATGTGAATTTCTTCTACCTTGGGAACATTCCAAGAACTGAACCGATTAGTCGAATTACATTCACCCAAAAAGATGTCTAAACTAAGTAAATTTGGGATGTCAAGTTCAGCACCAGGAAAGTTTTCGTACTCGGTCATGACAAGTCTCTTGAGACAAGAACTTGAGATTTGAATTTTGTCATCGGATTTGCAGTTAGACAAATGCAATTCTTTAATATGGGGAAGGTTAGATAAAAGATACTGAATAGGAACATAATCAGAAGAGAGGGTAACTCGGTTTAATTCCAAATGTTTGAGAAGAGTGCAACTAGCCATGTTAATGGAACATGAATACACGTAACTACATTTTAACGTCTCAAGACTGGGTACAAAGATCTCAATCCTCTTGAGCTCGTTGAGACACGTGATGTCGAAATATTTCAATCTAGGTTTACATGAAACCGAGAGAAAACTGCTCATGCCCTCAGAAACTAAAGCTTCCAGAGACTCCAACTCAGGACAGCCACATAAAATGTTGGATAAGACATTCTCACTGGCAAACAGGCACCGCAAAGTTCTGAGCTTCTGCAGATGTGGAAGACTAGTGCAGGAAAAACTATCCTCAAACTTGCAGCCCTGAAGCTCTAAAACCTTTAGTGAATTAGACACAAATACTTCCTTGGGAATATTATAGTAAGTGGTTGCACCAAAATTCATCTCAATCAATAGCTCAGAAACATTCCTCTCAATTGCAGCCCTGAACCACTGATCCATAATGGGGGCCAACTCCTCCAGGTTACCGGCAAAAACGTTTAACTGCAACTTCTGTATGCAAGGTTTTCGAAGAATGCATTGATCCATGATTAATTTAATGTGATCTAAGAAAGAGCGTCGATGTAGTGTATCCATGTAAGCCTCCTCATGCAAAAGCAAATCGATGTTAGGGTAATTGAGCCAAATGCGACTCCACATCTTAGACAAGACTGAAGTACGGACGATATCCTTGAACGGAAGGAATGACAATATGTGATGAGTAAGCGATTCAGGCAACATCGAAAAGAAATCCGACAACTCATTCTCAGATCTTCCGATTTTATTCATGGTCTCCTCTGCTAACAACCGATTAAATGATCAAGCAATGAACAAGTATCAGGAAATACAAAGGAAACAGGGGATAGTGATATACCTGGAAAGGAAGCCAAATTTCAACGTCAATAAGCCAGCCCTAGCCTACGACTAAGCGCCTATGCAATTTTTTTAGGAAAATTCTGGTACGTGCCTTCTATGCAATTTTTTGGGAAAATTCTGGCGCGTGTATTTACACTAAGCACGACTCAATTTTATACTATACGTTTTGAGATGGTTATATTAAGTTTTTTTGGACATTTTTTTAAACCTATTATAGTATCTACTCTACCTGACGACAACATCCTTGATTGGGATGGGACTCGAACCTGTGACCTCCTCATTGGGAGATCAGCAGTGATGTCATCAGACCACACGGTATATAAAAAAATAATAAGAATAATGAATAGTGTAGATAAGTAGTAAAGAGGTAGAAAATTATGAAAGGAAAAGATAAAATGAATTTTATTGACCCGGATCTGAAATATAGATCAACTATCAATTCGAGACCTGAAAAATGAAATTTTGTCGATATAGGTCCCGAATGATTTAAAACTATCAATATAGGATCTAAGTTGTCATGAATTTATATTACTACCTCTGTCCTCCTGATATTGGGACGGAAGAGAGTCGTCTGGTTTTTAAGAAAAGTAGAATTATGTGATTGATAATGAGTTGATAAAGTGGAAACAAAGTAAGAATGAATTAGAGTCACACAAATGTTGTCAAATATGGTATGGAAGAATAATAGAGGGACATCCAAAAATGAAAAAATGGGACAATTATAGGGGTACAGAGTGAGTATTTCTTTTTTTAAAGTTTTAAGATATTATTTAATTTTACTAAATAAATATTATTAGTTGTTGTTGTATTATTTAATTTTATTAAACTCGCAACTTTGTGAAGAAAATTAACCAAAAAATAGCAACAGGATTAATGAAAAAGTTAAATAAATCAAAACATGTGAAATTTTAGGTCCTAATTTGATAGTTTTCAATCATTCGGGCTTTATACAGGCACATTTTATTTTTTAGGTCTCGGTTTGATTATTTGTCTATCTTTGAGGTCCTAGATTGATAAAAATACAAGATAAAAGGTAGAAAAGTATGGGTAATCGAGTAATTTTAAAGGAAAACTTACCAAAAATGGAAAGTAACAAATTTATTGTCACACCCCAGACCGCATATAAGCGCGTGAACAACCGCCGCACAATCAAGTGATGTCACCCTCACTTGATTGAACAAGGCGTCCATGAACATAGTTCATATAATACTTGGTAAGTAAACATACATAACGACATCACATTTGAAGTGAATGAATAGCGGAAATATTCATTGTAAAGTCATGGGCCACATCCGGACGAAACGTGGACTCGCGGGCCCAAAACAATTGATAGTAATTAAAATATCCATAAACATTGTTTATAAGTTCAAATCGATAAAGGGAACATGAATCACGTCTTCCTTGATTCACTTCACCCGTTTGTAAAGGTGAAGGTAGCAAGCTCTAGCTTCAACCTAAAAATAGTGAGGCCCCCTGAAGACGTCTGTACACTTGCACTGATGAGAAACAAGCTAAATGTAGAATAACTAATGTTTCAAGTATAAGACCCAAACATAGGGTGATACATAACTTATAGTCTTCAATCAAGTCTTTAAATACATATAAGTATATACACTTGGAAAGTACGTGACTCGTAGGTTATTCGCTTACTTAGAAAATTCATAGTAGTCATAGTCCTTGACCTACAATTCCCAAACCCACCCACATCCTTATGAGTGTATATGACTTCTGCTTGTTAAATCAAACAATTTAAGGACACTACCTGGTCCCGGTTGCTAACCCAGATACTACGAGTTTTGAGGACTACTCATGTCCCGTACTCAACCAATAATATCCCGAGTTTTGAGGACAATCTCGTCCTTGGATACTCCACCGTTTATATTCTGAGTGTTTAGGACAATCATGTCCTTGGATACTCCACCAATTATATTTCGCGTTTTGAGAACAATCTCGTCCTTAGATACTCCACCATATCCTATAATCTACCATATATCATACTTAGATAGGGCCTATATCATATCATTACTAAAGACTAATCCAAGTCTTAGCATTTAAACACATATTCCATGCAAACCATGCAAAATATACATATATAGATTGACCGGTGTTGGTTCTACCTTGAACCAGCACCAGTTTTCGATCTTTCAAAAACCGGGCCCGAAATCACACACCGAACCGGCGTCGGTTTACCCCCTGGCCGGCGCCAATCCACCTGTTTCATTCCCAAACCGGGCTGGCAGTGACTGAACTAGAGTCGGTTTATCCCCTGGTCAACTCCCCTACACCCGGTCAACGCTTCGTTAACAACTTGAATCAACTCTGATTGCTACAAAACTTATACACAACGTGTAATAAATCATAAACAATCAATATATGTCATTTTGGCCATTCAAAACATCACCTATGTTTTTATGCATTTTAATTCATTTACATGCATAATATAGTAGTTTCATTGACATAAGTTTAATCACCTTGGCTAATCGCATGCTTAAACTCCTTTAAACATCATTATGAATACATATAACATTTCTTTAGGTAATCTCATACTTAACCAAAGAGTTATAAGACATTAAGTCATTAACTGACCTCAAATGAGCTTTAGGAAGTTCTACCTTCTCCGGTTGATCTCCGGTGACTATCTCAACTTCATGAGAGCATCTAGGAACACCTTATACAAGTTCCTAAAAAGGTTTCAACACCCCAAGCCCCGTATCAATATATATAACCTGATTAACCTCTAAAAAGTTATTTTCCGGCGAACCGGTAACCTTTGGCTTCTAAGTCCGTTCTTGGACTTAGAACCACCTTCCAACCCCTCACTCTACATCTCTAATCATGTAGAACAATCTTAGGGGTCCTTCAACTGGTTTATTACAGCATATGGGATTCATGAGTGAATAGAAAAGGTTAATAAGATCATTATGTTGATTTTCTATGTTTTTCCTTCTTTTCCCACCCCATCTTCCTCCTTGGACAGTTGGACCTTCCCCTTGCTTGAGCTTGTTTCTAACAATGGAGAATGGGATGTGCAAGGTGTTTTCCATTTGTTTGAGATGGGTTGGCCGAAATGATGGTAGAGGGGAGGGTAGGGATAACCCTTTTGTCTTACTAATGCAATGAGTGTGGATGAGAGGTCCACCTCATGTCTCACCCTCACTCAAACATCCTTTCAACCCACTGTCACAACCACTCCCATGTTTTGCAGCTCCCCTTGGTCAACCTTGAGTGTATAATTTGGTGGGATGACCCCTACTCATGTGGGAGGTCATCCCATTATGTCTCGAAGTGTATGTATATTTGACCCCAAAAGTTGTATTTCTTAGATTGTTTTAATTAAATTTCACTTTACCGGGCCCAATAAAATATACTACCTCCGTCCCACTAAGATTGGGACAGAAGAAGGTGACACGATTATTAAGAAAAGTGGGTTTGTGTAGTTGATATTAAATTGATAAAGTAAGAATAAAGTAAGAATGGTTTAGATCCACACAATCTTTACCAAATTTGGTATGGGACAATCTTAGTGAGACTTCCCGAAAAGGTAAAATGGGACAATCTTAGCGGGACGGAGGGAGTATCATTCTCCCAATTAATATGGGCCTCGAGAACGAATATACATTCCCCAACTTTAATTTAGTGGTCCCCAGAATTTATTAGGGGCCGTTATCTGTCAGATTACCAATATTGGTATATGAGTCTCGTTTGATCAACCGGCCAATTCTATGTTGTTTCTATAGCATATCTTGAATATACATCATCATACAAATATTATCTAAACCCATGTGCATTTTACTATTCACGTAAAAGTAATAACAAAAATTTACAACCACATAAATTCATTAACTGGCCATTTCTTAATGTTCAATACATAGTTTGGTACAAATAAATATATTTGGGGACGGTGTTACATTTGTAAATACATCCTGAAAAGAGAAGAGTAGCAAACTTCAAAATGTGGAGGGAGTATGTGATTTGATTTGATATGGTCTGAACCAATCTGGTCTTACTCAATAAATGATTATCCTATGTGTATTTTTCAACTATCGAAATCCAGTCTACTTTAATCTAGTCTATTTTAATTTTTATTTAGCATGTTTAAGTCTAGTCTTATTTGGTCTGATATTGAAATCAATCCAATTAAAATAATCATACATTTAAAGAATATTCTCCAGTATAAGTTAGCAAATTTTCTAATTAAACTTGTTATCTTCCCAATATAGAATCTATGCACTCTTATTCAGGAAAATTTTATTCCATTATTCTTTAAGGGGGATCAAATAAGTTCTATTTTGGAAGAAAATATTCGCATTCCAATTTCAGGGTTTTTTTCTAAGATTTTCTCATATTTTGAGTAATTTCTAATAAATATAGGTACAATAAAAATCTGTCCAAGAAAATACTATGGACAAATAGAAGTGGAAAAATGCTGAAAATATTTAATTTACTTAATTTTTTGGTATATGGACAGTTTCAATATGGTATGATATCATACCAAAATATTTAGGTGTGCTATAGATTTTTTTAAAAATTAAATATAGGAACAATAAAAATTTGTCCATGAAAATACTATAGACAAATATTAGGTATGCTATAGATATTTACTCGGAAAAATGGTATACTAATTATACCGAGCATCCAATGTAATAATTTTTTAATAATAAAAATGATTAGTAACATAACATCACCATAATGTACAGAACATCACCATAACATTATATTCATGTTTGAATTATTATTACATCTTTGTTAGAGAATGTGTTTACTGAAGTATATTTCCATATAGCCCAATGGTCTAGACAAGATGACCCAAGACGTGAGTCCAAATCACCTACACGGAGGGTTGAGCCCAACGTCATAGTCAAAACCAACTCTCTGATGGCGAGCCTATTTCATTCTGGGCCAAGCTACATCAACGAGATTGAGCCTGATGATCGCTATCATAGGATTTTGCATTGATGCTGCAGGACGAGACTGAGTGGACCTGATTCGCCTAAACTCCATTAGAGTTTTATTGCCTGTACATTCTGGACAAAGTGACATTTCTCATTTTCCAAATGTTCCACAAAATAGTGGTGTAGCATAGGACATTTGTGTGTTTGATCCATTTTAAGATGGTGTCCTTTAACTTGTTGTCCAACTAGTGATTA